TTTTTTTTTTTTTTTTTTTTTTTTTTTTTTTCCAACCCCGAACAGTTTAGAAGATTCAGTGGGATCTGAAACAGTACCTCAAAAGAATAAAAACTCCCCAAATCTGGAACAGACTTGCTACACTAAGCTTCCACTGATATATTTTGCCATCTGTGTGAGCGTCAGGTGTTAGGATGTGGGTTTGGAATTTTCTGTGTTGTCTTTAATCCTCACAGACATTAAATAACAGCTTGGTAACGCCGGCCAGTGAGCAAAGGTTATCCTTGCCACCACAGCACCTGCGAAAGCACAAGTGGAGCTCACATACTTTGCTTCCTGAGTTCTAAAATGGCTTCTAAACCTTCCAGAGGTACCAGCACATACTCTGAGGAGGACCGGGGACCAGGGAGAGTTACATATTTTTTTTAAAAAATCACACAGATATTATTAAACTAAAATTGTTCCATCTGCTCTCTCTCTCGGCCTCCAACCTCATCCATCAAGGAAATATTTTAGTGTAGGCCTACTCAGTAATTTTATGTACGGACTTGTACTCTTCCCTCCCCCTCCTCCACAAAAAACAAAACAACCAGCCAACAACATCAGCTCTTTGGGGGAGGAAGTAAAAAAAAAAAAAAGCACCACCAATCCTTATCCAACTACACCTCATTTAGTTTGAACATTGAAAAGAAATCCTACCAATGCTATGAAACAAGTAATTTACCAGGACCTCAAACACATTTAATTGTATACTTTAAGAGGTATTGTCTGTTAACATGAAAAAAATGGAACAGTTTCTGGAACTGATAGGTGAAAAGCTCAGAATTCTTCCTGGAAATATTTGGAGATGGAGGCTTCTGATCTCTATATTTCATCAATTCAAGCCATCTCTTAGGAAAAAAAAAAAAAAAGAAAACTGATCCTGTATCTTGACCATACATAAAGCAATACCACATTGACCAATTTTATCTTAGTTATATGCCTTAGATCTTCAGATGAGTTACATGAATAGTGAAAGATTACATATAAAGGAAAACTGCCAACATTTTTTCATGTTGAATTTTTAATTTAGAAGTGCAACCAAATTATTTATCACAACCTAAATATTATATTGCCACTTCTCTGTTCCTTCTCAGTGTACAGTTCATACAACTGGTGGAAAAGAAGTCTGCCTAAATATAAAATGTATGTTTTGGAAACATGATTTCCTAAAATAAAAAACCTCAGTGGTCTTTAGGAATAATTATTCTGTCATTTGGTAATTCTTCACACAGCTAATGTAACTGTCTCCTGTTAGATTCTTCAACTATTGTATTGTACACTTTAGGTCCTTTTGAACCAAACAGTTCTTGCTTCATAGTTTTATCCTTTAGATATCTCTATTAAAAAGAGACTGTCTTCAGTGACACAGCAGCATTCTGATTCCCATTCTACAAACTTGGTCCCATTCAGACCACACCTATACAGGCCATGTAAAAATGACATGCGTTCCTACTTTTATTAAAGTTTGGAACAGATATGAATGAATATTAGCATGTGAAAGGCTTAGAATAATTAATTGGAAAATCACTAATAACCTTACAGTATGGTGATGATCAAGATGAAATAAAAATACTTATAGGTTAGAAGTGTGATCAAGTTGTTAAATTAAGCAGCGTCTGATAATGACTAACAGTATAGCATTCCCTATCTCACTACTCAAATAAGCAATAATGTGTATTGCAGTATATTATTTAAGTGTGAAAGATAATTTTATGTTATAATTATCATAAGAAAAGAAATAATTGATCATTCCAGAATATCCTCTTTAATGTTAGGTTAAACATAATTAAGAACAGTAGTTTGGGGTGGTTTAAAAATATGCATTATACTATTATACATAGTTTTGGCTGTCCTTTATCTTTTTTTTGCCTCCATAGTTTACATAATGAACACAAAATAGCACAGAGAGATTTTCAATTATTT